CTTACAATAAATTGATATACATCTCGTTCAAAGTCAACATTTGGTAAATCTGACATCATGTGAACTATCATCACTTTGAAGACTTTAAATATTCTGATGTATTCGTATATTATGTGATATATTTTTTTATATTATATATAATTACATATATGCAGTATTGCATATCACATGTTTAGTATATCATAAACATATATAAATATATAAATTTATATAATGATATTTGCAACTTTTTGATATTTATTAAATACTTTTATTATGTTACGTTATCATTTTATTTATACTATTTTTTCATAATAATTTTCTGCAACGCTACCATTGTACTACATCTTTCATAAGTATATAAATAATTATTATTGGTAAAGATCGCTTCCTTATTTTACATCAATAATTATGCAGGTACTTATAAAAAAAGAATAGTAGGATGGTAGTGTAGCAAGAAAGTAATTATTTTATAAAAGAAATAGTTTAAAATGATAACGTATCAATATTTATTTTATACCCCGCACGTCAATATTTATTATTTTTTTACATAACCCCCCCGCACGCTGCCAATATCGCGGAGCACTACTAACGCCGTCTGTTGTAAAACGTGCGAGATGGACAAAATTACCACTACATGCATCTTGCATGTGTTGTGTACGTGTGATATATGTGTGCGCATGTGTTGTATACGTGTGAATACGTGTATCGATTAAGTCTAGTATAAACTCGATTGCTTCTGCCGTTATTGAGGATTCAAAATATTATAAAGACTCAAATGTCCGACTCGCGTTAAGATATACGGTGTCTCGGCTATGCCCTTACCTGGTCGCGTTACACTACCGTGTCTCTTGATAGGGTTTTTATTTAAATAAAATGAAGAATGTATATATATGTATATTTATTTATGTATATATAATGTATGTATATGCTATTAGGCGTTTCGCCGTCCCCGTCCTCGTCCGCCTTCTCGTCCGCCCCTCCTCGGCCTGTTGCCCCAATAATAATTCGGCGAGGACAGTTTCATGAGGAAGCGCATAAAGCGCTCCTCTTGGACGCGAACTCCGGCGCGTCTTCCTCTGTAAACTGTAATTAAAAAAAGAATTATTTTAGTAATTAGATAATATGGTATTTAGGTATATCTAGGTATGGTATAAAATAATCAATGTATAATATGTTATATAAAATGTTATAATAATATAAGGTTACTATTTATCTAAATATCTAATATTTTATTAATTAGAAATATTTTTCACTATTATAAATTATTCTAAATCATTATTTATTCCTAATTCCTTCTTTCTTCCCCTCCTCCCCTATTCTCTCTCGCGAAATCGAGTCTTCCTTCTCCTAAATTTTCCTCTTTCTCTCTTCCTCCTTCTTCTCCTATTTCCGCCCCTATTTCTTCCTTCTTCCTTCTTTCTATATCTCCCTATCTCTCCTATTTATTTTTTCCTCCCTATCTCCTTTCCCTGTTTATTTCCTTTCCTAACCATTTCCCTTTCTATTGCTTCCCCCCTCCATGCGTTCGCTCCCTCTGCCCCTTCGTTCCTGAGATCGTCCCTGTCCTATTTCTTTTTTCCTCCTCTCTCCTTTCCCTGTTTCTTCCCTTTCCTCCTTAATTGATACTTATCATTATGATAATCTCATTATTCTTTGTGACATGATCTCAACATGAGAAAATTTAATTCTATATTAACACCATGTTACCGTCAATTTCATCAACTTTAAACTTTCCTGACTGAAATTTGAATGCGAGATAGATAGAGAATCGTACACCGCGTAACGGTTAAAGAAGAATTAGCAATTATTGCATAACTGTGACGTATCGTTTATGTCAATAACGTAATGAATCTATAATTGTTATATAAATTGTTATGTAATTTTGGCGTTACTTTATTATATATGTATTTATGTATTATGGTTAATGTAAATGTGTATACTCTAAAAGTTTCGTAAATACACTACGTAATTTTAATGACATAATTGTAACGTTATGTTAAATACGTAACGTTTATGTATTTTGGTTAATGTAAATGTATATACTCTAAAAGTTTCGTAAATACTACGTAATTTTAATGACATAATTGTAACGTTATGTTAAATACGTAACATTTATATATTTTGGTTAATGTAAATGTGTATATCCTAAAAGTTTCGTAAATGCTACATAATTCTAATAACTAATTGCAACGTTATATTAAATACGTAACATTATTTTGTTGACATCAATGTATACATTCTGTAAAAACTTTATTATAATCATTACATACAGTATAATAACAAAATTGCGATATTTTTTTTATTTAATGTGACATCGTAATTTCGTTATTATAATTATATATAATAGTTATATAATAAGGTTTTTACAGAATATATACATTGATATCAACAAAATAATATTAATGTTACATATTTAACGTAACGTTACAATTATGTCATTAAAATTACGTAGTATTTACGAAACTTTTAAAGTATACACATTTATATTAACCAAAATATTATAATTATATATAATAGTTATAATAAGGTTTTTACAGAATATATACATTGATATCAACAAAATAATATTAGTGTTACATATTTAACATAACGTTACAATTATGTCATTAAAATTACGTAGTATTTACGAAACTTTTAGAGTATACACATTTATATTAACCAAAATACATAATTATATATAATATTATAATAAGGTTTTTTACAGAAGGTTTTTACTAAACAACTTGTGTCTAAATTTTCTATATACTTTCGAGATATTTAATAAGTACAAAATATACTTATGAAATAGGTATTTCTGTACAACAAGATTTATAAATACAGGATTTTACTTACAGATTAAACAAAATTTTTAAGAGGCATTGATGATTGTTATTGATAATAAAACTTCCACGACATTTAAATAAACTTGTTAAATATGCAAGACGAAAAATGTTTCAAAACAAACACCATAGATGTGAAGAAAGGCAGATGATGCTGAATTCATTCGACCTTGCAGAGATCTTGAAAATTCCTGTTAACGTTAACCCACTAAACATGAAATATACATGCAATGTTTCAAATTGTTTCATTTAGATTTCAAATGATACATTTTACGCTATTTTTGTTTTTGATATAATCATAAATGTTGCAATTGAAAATATTTCATCATAGTATATTTATTAAAAATTTTCAAATGAATATCTCAATTGATATATATTTAAAACATTCCAAAGTATCGTTTTAGGTATATTTACAAAAATATGAAAATAAATATTTCAAAATGAAATATCTCAATTGGTGTGTATATGCAATATTCCGAAAGTAGTTTTAAGTATATTTACAAAATAATAGTAAAATAAATATGAAATTAAATATTTCAATTATATGTAGTTGAAATATTCCAAAGTTATGTTTTGTGCATATGTACAAAATAATAATAAAATAAATATTTCAAATTAAATATCTCAATTGATATATTTTGAAATATTTGAAAAATTTTATGTACACGATTAGATAATCGCTTACATATTTGGAAAATGGCATCACGACGGTATTACATTCAAATTGTGTTTAATTATTATATAAATTATTAGAGAGAAATATTGGAAATATTGAATAACATAATTTATAATACGTTGTATATAAATATTTATATAAATGGTCTTGTTTTAAATTGTTTATTATTTAAATGCTTAGAATGTATATATTTTGTTATTATGTATTTATTTATATATTTATATTTTTTTTATATTGAAAAGATTCATTTTTCCTTTTCCTTTTTTTAAATTAATAAATTTTATTAATATTTGTTGCCAAATTAAAACAAAAATGTATCGTACAAACCAGCAATTACTTTTTAAATTTATTTTTCTTGTGTGGTGTGCTTGAACCTTCGAAATTAATTTTATGCACAGAAGGAAAATATTTGTTTTTGCGCCGAGAACGTAAACCTGCAGTAGGATTCTGCGAGGAGAGAGTGAACGAGTCCGTAAGATGAATTTAGCAATGATTTATTATACAGCAAAAAAATGAACAGTAACAATAGTCTAATAACGCGTTCGTTTCTATACGCGATTTTCGGCACTCTGATCTCCTTGCGAGCTTTCAAGGCGGACTCTCGGGCAGACTGCTCCGAATTCGTACAGCGGTAACGACAACGGCCGAAAATTCATATGACCGGCGCGTGACACGTGCGTGCCCTATTGTGATTCGCTTGTGATCGACGTATTGAGGAACGAGATACGAACAGAAAAACACTTGTTTGTCCCTCTGGAATGCGCGGTCGCGATAGTAAGTCGAAAGTGATGACTTGGCCGAAAACATCGAAAGACGGCTTCGCGAATAATCCTTACAATTTTATACAGACCGCCCGCCTCGCATGCGAACGGATGCGAAATGTTTATAGGTCGTTCTTATGAGAATAAGTCCTGGGCAATTGGAAGTCTTAACCACGATAATAACAAATATTTCGAGCCCGAGAACGTTTTTACCTTGACGTCTTAGATAAATATTTCAACAATTGAATTCTTAACAATAAGGAGAAAGATGCTTTTAGTAGGTATACATTCGTTTCTTGTAATTCTATTCATTGAGGACAAACATATTCGGAGTCATACAAAAATCTTAACAATAAGAAGAATGTAAACACATTGACTGCCTTGTAATGTCGAGCGCAAACAATTATAGCTCAATTAACAGCCTTCATACAGTATTGCAATAATAGGCAGTCGGCATAGTGACGTGATTGGTCGCTTTAAGACGGAACGTGCAGTTTGCATCGTGACTACTCTAACAAGTCCATCGGATCCCGGATGGATTTGAGTAATTCGAGCGAGTTCCCACTTGCTCGGAGGGAGCAATGGGTTCTTGAGAAGCGCGAGCTCTCCTACGCGATAACAGGGGACTTATCCGTCCACTTATTGCGCTGCTGTAATGTATGCAAGTAATCCAGCGACCAAGCACGCCAAATTTGCTCCTTCATTGAATTAAGGAGCTGCCATCGTGAGAGTCGGTTCGGGTTTATCGCGAGTACTGACTCCTCAGGTACGGACACCATAGGTCGACCTATTAAAATGGCCCGGCGTTAGCGCAGACAAATCGTTCGGGTCGTCGCTGAGGGCGGCAATTGGACGGGAGTTGAGACATGCTTCTATCTGGCATAGAAGCGTCGCGAATTCAGCCTGCGACAAGGTACGCGAACCGGCTACTCTTTTGAGATGCGATTTTAAACTTTTCACACCCGCCTCCCATAATCCGCCGAAATGAGGAGCCGCGGACGGTATGAAATGCCATTCTATTCTGTCATTCGCGAGGTCGGCTTGTAAAGAAGCATCTTTCATTAGAGCTTCGAACGCGTTCTGCAACTCTCGGTCAGCGCCGTGGAAGTTCGTCCCGTTGTCGCTGTAAAGTTTCTTGGGTAGGCCTCTACGCCCGGCGAATCTCCGAAAGGCGGAAATGAATCCTGCACTGGAGTAGTCGTCAACTAGCTCCAAGTGGATGGCTTTGGTGACAAGACAAATGAACAACGCGATCCAATTTTTTCTCGCTTTCTGTCCTTTCCCAACGAAAGGAGTAATGAGGAAAGGCCCAGCGTAATCCACTCCCGTATGCGTGAAAGGGGAGGATGGATTAACGCGAGGAGAAGGGAGGTCTCCCATGAGCTGGCTCGATAGCTTCGCAGAATGACGAGTGCACACGACGCACCGACGAACATGATTTTTTACTGCGTTTCGGCTACCCAGTATCCAATATCTCTGGCGGAGGGTGCGCAGCACGAGCTGCACTCCGCCATGAAGTGTGCTCTTATGAGCATGAGCCACAAGAAGAGATGCGATTTGACCTTGTGGAACGATAATGGGGTGCTGCTCTTCGAACGTAAGAGCGGCATTTTTAACCGCCCGCCGAGACGGAGTAAAGAATCTTCCCCGAGAAATGGATTCAGAGTTCTCAGAGGACTCTTTTTCGTGACAGTTCGATCCTTCTTCAAGGATGCGATATCGCAACCGAATGATCTGGCTTGAGCGTAAGAAAGCCAAAACAACTCAGCTTGATTGAGCTCGTCGACACTTAGAGACGACGCGGTGCGAATTTATCCTTCCCTTTCTTGACTAGCAAAGAGAGAAAACGGTAGATGTATGCGGTCACACGGACGAGCTTAGGCCAGCTAGAAAATTTATACATTAAATCCCACTCTTCCGAGCCTTCCATATGAAGAACAGGGGACCTTTTAATTTCACTTGAAATCTTCAGAATGGTATCAGAAGAGAGCGGAATCGCTACGTCATGGGTCGGCCATGACGTGGAAGGCCCCTTTAACCAGTGGGGTCCAGTCCACCACAGTGGATGAGTTGGTAATTCGGATGCTAGTAGGCCACGAGAAGCACAATCCGCGGGATTGTCCTTCGACGGCACGTGTTCCCATCTAGCCGACGGCAAATTGTTTTGGACCTCGGCTACTCTATTGGCCACGTACGTGGTCCATTTAGATGGATGCTGGCGTAGCCAGGCCAGCGTGATCGTGGAGTCCGTCCAACAATAAATCGGAGCGTCACTTAAATTGAGTGAATTTAAAATCCACTTCACCAGTCGACTCAAAAGTACTATCGCGTTTAACTCAAGTCTTGGTATGCTCACGGTCTTAACGGGTGCGACCTTTGTCTTGGCAGCGATTAAGCTGATCTCATAATCCGTTAAAGAATGCAACACGCGAAGATAGACGACGGCAGCAAGGCTCGGTTTGACGCGTCCGCGAATCCGTGCACCTCGATCGCGAGATTATCGGGGTGCTGACCTGTCCATCGCGGAATACGAATTTCTTTCAATTTATTAAATTCGGAAACGAAATCACTCCATCGTTGTTTCACCTCGTCGGGTAGAGGTGAATCCCAGTCGCAATGTAATAGCCACAACTCCTGTAACACGATTTTAGCGACGATCACGACAGGAGCGGCCCAACCGAGAGGGTCGTAGAGTTTCGCAACGAAAGAGAGAATTGAACGTTTTGTAGGAGCGATTGGGATGGTTGAATTCACGACAAGCTAAATGAGTCCAGCAGGGATCCATGAAAGACCGAGCACTTTGAGTGATTCGTTATTTAGGATGAGGTGATCGGTGACGTCGGATTTATCGGTCGAAAAATCTTTGAGAAGCTCGATCGTATTGGACGCCCATTTTCTTAACTGAAAACCTCCGCTTTTCATAAGACTTATCACTTGATCGCGCGTATCTGTTAAAGTCTGAATATCATTCGCTCCAAACAAAGTGTCATCCACGTAGATGGACTCATTCAAGATTGGAACCGCGGCAGGGTAATTAACGCCCTCGTCGAGAGCAAGTTGTTTGAGCACGCGCATGGCGAGGTATGGAGCCGGAGCGAGACCGTATGTCACCGTGAGGAGCCGATAATGTTGAATCGTCGCGTCCTCCGTCGGACGCCAAAGAATTCGCTGATAATCTATATCTTTGGGATGAACGCGAATTTGACGGAACATCTTTGCTATGTCCGCAGTATAGACATGGCGCCATCTTCGCCACCGAGACAAAACGGCAGGAAGATCCTGCTGTAACTTAGGTCCAATTAACAAGTGATCATTCAGCGTTGTGCCGTTTCGAGTTTTACACGATGCGTTGAACACTACGCGTAACTTAGTAGTACAACTTGCTTCCCTAATCACTGGATGATGCGGGATATAAACCGGTAAATATTCCGTTTGTTCCAACTCGTCTACGCGGGTCATATGTCCGAGCGACTCATACTCAGCAAGAAACTCGTTGTATTGCGAACCGAGTTCTGAACGATTCCTCAATCTATTCTCCATACGACCGTAGAGAGACCGCGCGATGGACAGAGATTCCCCGATTTCGATCGGCGGAGCTGACTTAAACGGCAGTCGAACTACGTATCGACCGTCGGAGTGACGATAATGAGTTCGAACGAAATGTCGTTCGCAATTCTCCTCTTCGTCAGTGAGAGGAGTGGGTGACGAGATCTCTTCATCCATCCAGAATTGCTGGAGAAGAGAGTCCACGTCTTGACTGAGAACACAGTTCAAGACGGCAGCTTCTGTCGAAGCCCGTTGCTCTTTTCCGGTGGGCCCGGAAATAATCCAACCGAGTGCGGTTAACTGGGCAGTGGGCGTGCCGAGCGGCCCCTGTCGTAAATCGCGCATCAAAAGCGAGCCGTAAATATCCGCGCCAATCAACATGTGGATCTGATGGTTACTTGACGGGTCCGGATCGGCTAAAGAAAGGCCTTTTAAATGAGGCCACGACTCGACAGGCTGAATCCGCGACGCGGCGTAAGACGTAATCCGCTGAAATACGTACGCGGTAAAAGGAAACGTGGGATCTGACTTATCGCAGTGTGTCAGCCGCAATGATACTCGCGATTTAGCTGAACCAGTAAACTTCTCTCCGAATCCTTTTATCTGTAGGTCGGCTCGTTGTCGCTTCGCACGCATGGTCTGACACAACGCTTCTGAAATGAAGCTGAAATTGGATCCTTGATCCAGCAGCGCGCGAACCTTGAAGCATCTACCTTCGGCAGTATGAACGTCGACCCACGCGGTTGCGAGAAGAACTGTCGGAGTCGTAACGCTTGGCGGTTTCACAGTTTGAACGCTCGCGACGGCAGCTTTCTCGAGAACGCAAGATGTATCCGTTTTCGCGATCGTCGCTGCGCCCGTCTTATTCGATTCCGGCTTGTCGTCGTCGGCCGATGCTTGATGATTCGCGGAATGTAACAACGAATGATGAGGGCGACGACAGTGGGAGCATCGCTGCTTGCTTGTACATTTTGGCGACATGTGACCCGGCTTCAGACAGAGAAAGCAAATTCTATTTTGACGCGCAATAGAGTTTCGTTGCGTGGCCGATTTACTGAGAAATGTTTCACATTTTGAAATAAAATGATTACCGGAACAATGAATGCATTTTATAGCGGAAACGTTGTTTACAGACGATCGCGGCTTGTCGTTCTTAGAAATTGCGGCAATTTTTGCAACGTCAGTAAAATCGGATAAACCCCGAATACGAAGAGCAAGGAACTCGTGGATGTCCTTGTAAGAAGGGATCGCGTGACTCGACGAGACTTTCAAGTTCCACTCGCTCTTTGTTTTAACGCTAAATTTCTGGGAGACAACGTACACGAGAATATCATCCCATTGATCCACCGGTCTATCTAGATTATGTAACGCGGCAATCGACGCGGCCACTGTGTCGCGCAACTTGCTTAATTCTATGACATTTTCATTTCTCATAATCGGCAGATTCATAAACGCATGCAAATGCGATTGAATCAACGTTAACCGATCGTCATACTCATCAACTAACAGTTGCCACGCGGACTCGTAATTCGCGTCAGAAATTCGTAAATTATTAATTTTTAATGCGGCGTCGCCGATGATGCTTGTTTTCAAATAATGGAACTTCTGAGTATTAGAGAGAGCGTCATTTTTTGCGACTAGCGACTCGAATGTACTCTTAAAACTCTCCCACTCGAGAAATCTACCGGAAAATTTAGGTAATGTAATCCGTGGCAAATGAAAGTTGGCATGAGTATTATCGCGAACCGAGGAGTCAGTACTACGATCGAGAGTAACCGGTTGACGGTCAGTAAATCGACTTATCGTTTCTCGGAGGTAGTCGACGGTCTCGTCGTAGATCTCCTCAGCTTCCAGGAATTCCTCATCCAAGAAGTACGACATCGTCTTCTGATCCTCCTTCGTAGTGGTCTGCAACAACTTGAGATGCAGCTCCTGACAGGATGCCCATAGCGTATGCACTTTCTCTAATCGACCTTGTGTCTTCGGCAAAGTTACGTTAGCCTTAGCCAATTTTTTAAAGTTTATTAGAACTCTCTTGAGCTGGTCGATTTTATCGGTTTGTGCGATCAGCAAATTCCGTAACTCGGCCATGATCAGCGAATTAGCAGCACTAATGAAGCAGGAGAGCGCGAGGAGTGAGTCGATAGTGACAGGTTTAGTCCGAGATCACTCAATATATGTCGGGCAAGTCAGCACGTCTCCGACGGCACGAACTCGCGGACGACCGTATCGATACGCGAGAAAATGTCTCCTCGAGGAACCTCACAAATTTATGCCGGGCGAGTCAGAATGTCGCCGACGGCACGAACTCGCGGACGACTTTGTCGATGTGCGAGAAAAATGTCTCCTTAGAGAACTTCACAAATTTCATGCCGGGCGAGTCAGAATGTCGCCGACGGCACGAAACTCGCGGACGACTTGTCGATGTGCGAGAAAAATGTCTCCTTAGAGAACTTCACAAATTTATGCCGGGCGAGTCAGAATGTCGCCGACGGCACGAACTCGCGGACGACTTTGTCGATGTGCGAGAAAATGTCTCCTTAGAGAACTTCACAAATTTATGCCGGCGAGTCAGAATGTCGCCGACGGCACGAACTCGCGGACGAGCTTGTCGATGCGCGAGAAAATGTCTCCTTAGAGAACTTCAAAATTTATGCCGGGCGAGTCAGAATGTCGCCGACGGCACGAACTCGCGGACGAGCTTGTCGATGCGCGAGAAAAATGTCTTTTCTCGAGTCTTACTGTACCCCAAACGAGGTGTCGTCTTCGTTTCACTCGCGGTGGAAAGTTTCTGCACAGTCACTTATATCCGGCTCGAAGGACCATTCATTCTGTGCTTGAACCTTCGAAATTAATTTTATGCACAGAAGGAAAATATTTGTTTTGCGCCGAGAACGTAAACCTGCAGTAGGATTCTGCGAGGAGAGAGTGAACGAGTCCGTAAGATGAATTTAGCAATGATTTATTATACAGCAAAAAAATGAACAGTAACAATAGTCTAATAACGCGTTCGTTTCTATACGCGATTTTCGGCACTCTGATCTCCTTGCGAGCTTTCAAGGCGGACTCTCGGGGCAGACTGCTCCGAATTCGTACAGCGGTAACGACAACGGCCGAAAATTCATATGACCGGCGCGTGACACGTGCGTGCCCCATTGTGATTCGCTTGTGATCGACGTATTGAGGAACGAGATACGAACAGAAAACACTTTGTTTGTCCCTCTGGAATGCGCGGTCGCGATAGTAAGTCGAAAGTGATGACTTGGCCGAAAACATCGAAAGACGGCTTCGCGAATAATCCTTACAATTTTATACAGTGTGAATAGTTTCATATAATATCTGGATTGCAAATATATTGTTTTATAATAGTTTTGTTGCATATCTATTATGCATATAATTATTTATAATAAATAAACACAATTTGAATGTAATATGTAAAAACATTGTGAAATGGTTACCTAGTTGAATTGCAAAAATGTTCTCCAGAAGGAAACTGTATGGTTACACTTCGTTGTATTACCAACTTTTCCTGCAATATTTATTTGATTAATAATTTTGAATTATAATATATATTGTCTATATGTACACACATTTTATTATAACATATTATACATTTATTTTTTAGAACAGAACAAAAAAAAAATTCGAGAAGTATATATTAACATTAAATATAATTAAATTAAATATAATAAAATGTATAAATGAATTGAAAATGTTCTGAATAAAAATATGGTTTAAAAAAACGTAAATTATTTATTATTTATATTGTAACTATTACGTTACAATAACTTTGCTAGAACCAAGGAAAAGATATATATTATTTAAATTCAGTCATATTAATATCATCAATCAAACATCTTCGATTAAACTTAAATTGTATTAATCGTTACACATTGTTAATTAATGGAAATAGAGAAATTATACCGATTTTCTTAAGTCATCATTAATGGATTTTCTTAAGTCAATCATTAATGGAAGAGATTCGCATTAAATTTGCTATATTTAATCGTCAATTAAATATTTTTTAATTGTTTCTGCTCAAATCAATTGTCACTGAATTGTCTTCGATTGAATCTGTTTTTTTCAATCGTCAATTAAAAACTTCTAATTAAAATTAACTCATATTAATCGTTAATTAAAAAACTTTTAATTAAATTAGCTTGTATTAATTGTTAATCGATCGTTCTCCGATTAATTTCGTTTATATCAATTGTCAATTAAATAATCTTTAATTGATTTCGATCATATTAATTGTTAATTAAACGATCTTCGATTAATCTAGCTTATATCAATTTAATTAAATTAAATTATAACTAACCTCTACGATAGTCGGCGGCGACGGGGCCGGCGGCGACGGGGCCGGCGGCGACGGGCTCGGCGGCGACGTGGTCGGCGGCGACGTGGTCGGCTTCATTCATCGGTATCTGAAATGTATAAAGAGTATTAGTTTTTTTATAATAAAAATAATAGTATTTTATAATGAAATAAAATACTTACATCTCTCTCTGCCATTTCGGTGTTTTGAGTACATCTGGAATTATAATAAAATGAAATAAGATCTGGATATTTCGAACACCTGATATAACGAGTCGATGCGCGTAAACAAGTTTTTATGCGCGAACGACAAGAGTAACATTAAGCACGTCCGAAATATATCTATTGCAAAACTATATGTAAAATCATAATTATAATCACGGAACCAATAAATAAGATGCGAATATCTCAAAAATTCACGAAAAGATCCCGAAAAGTTCATAAAATGACAATGTTCCGTCGCTTAATGCTAGTCGTTCTCGCGAAATAAATTATTAATAATAAACGAACTTAATTGCTGACTACTAATTAAGTGATTCTACATTTCATTAAAGACGATGATGATGTTAGAACGATAGTTTACAGAATTTTATATGTATATGACTTACCGAAGTTAGTTGCTGATATGTCAGTCTTCTCACGGCCACAAACTGATTAGACCGCAGGCTGCGCGACAGGGGTGCGTAATCGTGCGGCTTGTATTTAGAATGATATGCTCGATGCCACGCGTTTCACACGTGTTGTTCTTGGCCGCGTGTTCATATCATCGATGTTTTTCGACAATTTTCGGTGCGACGAAATAATCGCTGCTTTAATCAGGTAATGATTTTTTATAATTTGGAATATTGATGAAGTTAAATGTGTAAAGTTTTATAAGATAATTAATTCTTTATATATTTGGAATATAATTAAATATTAATTTATAATAGTACAGACACACACACACACACACACACACACTCTCACGCGCGCTTATGTCCGTGTGTTGATACGTATATCTATATTCTTTAATTAATATTTAAATTTATATTGTACATATGCAGAATATATATGCAGGATATCACAGAATTAGTAGTAAACCTGTTAATGGAAGATTCTTGAGATAATTGGGAGACGATTTTGCTTCTAACTATATTAATATAATAAATTTATAAACTGATA